GAACCGTGAATTATGCTCTGTACCAGAAAATCCTCAAGAAGAATGTCCAGCCATGGCCTCAAGTTCAATGGTTATGCAGCAGGACAATGATCTGAAACATACCAGTAAGTCCACCTCTGAATAGTTCAGAAAAAAATTTAAATTGAGGTTTTGGAGTGGCCTAGTCAAAGTCCTGACTTAAATCCAATTGAGATACTGTGGCATGGCCTTAAACAGGCCATTCATGCTCAAAAACCCTCTAATGTGGCTAAATTGATGCAATTCTGCAAAGAAGTGTGGGACACAATTCCTCCACAGCGATGTGAAAGACTCATTGCCAGTGATCACAAATGCTTGATTACAGTTGTTGCCACCGAGGGTGGCATAACCAGTTATTAGGTTAAGGGGGTGTGACAGACCCAACCAGGACAGGGGCTTTTTCAGGAAACTATGGGCTAGCTTTCTACCCACTGATTATGGCCCATGAAGAGAGCAAATTTGAAGTCTACAGTTTTAAATAAAGTTCCAGTTTTGCACCTAAGCTAGTGTCACCTAGTCTTGGGTGTGATGCCCAGCTATAATACTTTGGTCCCGCGTGCCAGCGGTGAGGAAGCAGTTCTCTGATGGAGGCTCTCAAGCAGGGTGCTAGGTGGTCCGTCACATTTGGTGGCAGCATCGGGATGCTTCCTACAGTCTGGGTCATCCAAAAGCCCCTCTCCTGGTTGGGTCTGCCACATGGGGAAATTACTTTTTCACATAGGGTCAAGCAGGTTTAAAAAGCATTTTTCCCTTAATAAATGAAATCATCATTTGAAAATGGCATTTTGTATTTACTTCAGTTATCTTTGGGTAATATTAAAATTTTTTTCATCACTTCTGGTGTCACATGGAGAGGAGGTAAGCCGTCCCTGCTCCTGCTGCCCTCCTCCACTGCTGCATTAAAAGCCTGCTACAGCTCAGGGGCTGATTCCCCCTTCCTACCCGCTGCTTAGGGGAAACATATGGACCGCTTTGTAGAGCCGTCCCACACCAGCTCCTCTTCTGTCCCCCGCCTGTCACAGGGGGACATAGCGGCTGCTACAGCCAAGATGGCACAGGGTATCAGCCAAATACACTGCAGCCACAGCCTCCTGCATCACAGCCAGTCCCGGACCCTGCCTCACCAGCGAGCATTGCCCATGCAATCATGGCTCTCTTAACACCTACTCTCATGGCAGCGGTGCTGTACTTAAAGGGTTAGGGCAGCTTCATAAAGATCTCCATGTCCAGGCTGAGCACATTACCCAGATGGAAGATAGGCTCTCCTCCATTGAAGACAACTCATTGGCTGTTTCTGCCGCAGTAGCCAGACTCACTACGGTCCAAAGAGATCTTCACGATAAGGTAGGCGATCTTGAAAACCGCTCATGGCGGAACAATCTGCATATCATAGGCCTGCCCAAGACATATTCTCCCTCTATGCTGATCAGAGTATGTGCTACATCCATTCTGGAGCAACTAGGCCTGCGGTATCCGTATGCAGTTGAAAGGACCCCACCGTATTGGCCCGCCATCTGACTCTCGCCCTAAGCCAAGGTCGGTGATTGTACGATAGCTGAACTATGCTGATAAACAGGCCATTCTTCAGATGCTTTATCCATAGACGAGCACCAACTGCTCTTGCTCGCTGACTACTCGATGGAGGTTATGCGCCAACGCAAGGCCTTTTCTGCAATTTGCTCCACTCTTTATCACAAGCAGGTTAAATTCACTCTGGCATATCCTGCTATCCTCCATATCCAACCAGTGGACGGAGACAGGCTATCTTTCACCTCGCCCTCAGAAGCGGAGCATTAGCTCAATAACATTCCTGAAGCAGCCATGTATCAAAGTCCTTCTTCTGCAGCATCTTCCTCCTCCCCCCCAAGGGGAAATTCTGTGCCCTTCCAGAATCACCCGAGTGCTCAAAAACCACCTCATAAATGGGTGCGCTTTGGTCGGGCCAAAGACCGCTACGTTGCCCGCTGACCTACCTCATCGGATTCTTTGTAAGGGTTTTCCTTATTTCTATATGCTTTCTCAGGGACTATCATACTTCGTCTGTTCAATAATGTTTACCAGCACAATGCCCCATGCCTGGTATGCGTTAATAATCATTCTCCTCTTTAAGAGTCCACAGCTAACACTGACAGGCAGGGTCCCCACTGACCATAAGGAACTAATCCGAGTCAGCTCTGATGAAATGATCACATGCGGGCTGGAGGCTTTATTAAAAAAAAAAATGAAATCCTTCAGCCTGCGAATATACGCCGCTGTCTTCAAGTGTTCGTCTGTGGTGCCATCTATTTAATAGTGTAATTGTCAGATACAGTTGCTTTATTAACAATGTTATTACATTTAAAACATTTCATTTAGAATTTGGCCATTTATCAGCCTATTATAAATACAGAGTAGAGTTTTTTTAAATAAAACCATGTGCCATTTAAAAGCTATATATTGCATATTCTTTGTATTTATTAGGTACCCAAATTAGCTTTAGAGTTAATAAGTTAACCAACAAAAGGTAATGCATTGCAAATCACATTTTCAAGCTAAGAACATGGTGGTTGAGGGCCAAAATAGAATGGGTTGCAAAAAAAAAAAAAAACACAATTTAAAAGTGAGCTGATAAAATAATCCAAAGGTAATACCAGATGAGCAGTAATGCTTTCTTTACATAAAATCACACTTAATTATTCTGAGGGTTTTTTGGCTCAGCCAGTAAAAGTTGCAGAATGTAATATGACCTTGGTGGAGCTCCTCTTCTGCAGTACTTTAAAGTGATACTAAAGGCTTAGCTTTTTTCTAAAAATAACAAACATGTCTATACTTACCTGCTGTGTACAGCGGTTTTTCAGAGAGCATCCTGGATCCTCCTCTTCTCAGGTCCCCCGCAGGCCCTCCTGGCCTCTCCCTCTTGTTGGGAGACGCAGCAGCAAGCAGCTTGCTATGGGTGAACCTGCTGCTCTGTGTGTCTATTCACATGGAGCCGTGGCTCGTGGCTGTGATTGACAGCAGTGGGAGCCAATGGCTCCCGCTTCTGTCTCAGCCAATGAGGAGAGGGAGTCCCGGGATAGCCGAGACTCCAGTGCACATCGCTGGATCGAAAGGGGGCTTAGGTATTAGGGGGGCTGGGGGTGATGCTGCACAGGGAAGGTTTTTTGCCTTCATGCATAGAATGCATGAAGGTAAAAACCTTGAGCCTTTACAACCACTGTGAATTGACTGCAAAAATTGTTTAGGTGTTTTAAATTCTCAATTTAGTGTTTCATAGTAGCTAATTATAAAACTATCGTAAATGTTCCTTCATCAGACACGGAAAATCAAGAACTAGTTGACAAAACTAAACTTTTAATGGCAGGAGACCAAATCATTTATTAGAAAAATCATTAAATTGAAAGCAATATCTATTAAGTACTTGACTGCCAACAGTATACATGACCTGTGATATTCACTCATTTGAATTTAACCTCTTGATCAAAAGATTGTGAAAGAAAAACTATGTTTGTTGCCATCTGGACAAGTTTTGGCCCAGTAGGTTAAAAAAAAAGAACAGTTCAAAAACTGATATTTCAAAACTATCTTAGTATTTTTTATATATCAGGACTGAATTAAAGTGGTTCTAAAGGCAGAAGGATTTTTTACCTTAATGCATTCTATGCATTTTGGGTGCAGCTTCCCCCTCAGCCTCTCGTTATACTTACCTGAGCACCATTTCAATCCGGCGATGTGCATGAGAGTCGCTGCTCTCCCCAGTCCCTCTCTCCTCGTTAGCTCACACAGCAACAGGAGACAATGGCTCCTGCTGCTGTCAATCACAGTCAGTGAGCTAAGGAGGAGAGAGAGAGGGGATGGGGCCAAGCCCCGCTCTGGGTGTAAATGGACAATGTCCATTCACAGGAGTGCGGCTCAGAGCAAGCCTGTTCAAGTGCCCCTATAGCAACCAGCTTGCTATTGGGGGCATTCAACTGGAGGGAGGAGCCAGGACTGCTCGCAGGGGACCCAAAAACTAGAGGATCGGGGCTGCACTGCGCAATACCGTTACATTGTAACATGTTTGTTAAAAAATACCACCTTTAGGTTCTGTATATATAGTTATATAGATAGTTTGGCTGAAAAAAGACAAAAGTCCATCCAGTTCAACCATTAAAAAAAAAAGAAAAAGAAGTTATAATCCTACACTTACAGTTGATCCAGAGGAAGGCAAAAAAACAGCAAAGCACAATCCAATTTGCTCCTGCAGGGGAAAATAAATTCCTTCCTGATCCCCCGAGAGGCATTCGGATATTCCCTGGATCAACTTTACCTATAAATGTTAGAAACCAGTTATATTCTGTGTATCCAAGAAAGAATCCAGGCCTTTTTAAACCACAAGCCTACAGGGGCACTTATACCCCCTTCCTGCCCAGGCCAATTTCCAGCTTTCAACGCTGTCACACTTTGAATGACAATTGCGCGGTTATGCAACACTGTACCCATATGACAATTTTTATAATTTTTTTTGTGACAAATAGAGCTTTATTTTGGTGGTATTTAATCAACTTTTGGTTTTTTATTTTCTCTTAAACAAACCAAAAACCACTGAAAATTTGAAAAAACAAAACGTTTTTTCTCAGTTTTTGTAATAAAATTTTGTAAATAAGTGATTTTTTCTCCTTCACTGATGTGCACTAATGAGGCTGCAGTGATGGGCACTGATAGGCTGCACTGATGGACACTGATAGGTGGCACTGATAGGCACTGATGAGGAGGCACTGGTAGGTGGCACTGATGGGCATTGACAGGCATCACTGATGGGCACTGAAAGGCAGCACTGATACATGGCACTGATAGGCGGCACTGATAGGCGGCACTGACTTGCACTGTTAGGTGGCACTGACTGGTACTGTTAGGCGGCACTGACTGGCACTGATAGGCGGCACTGATGCACACTGATAGGCGGCACTGACTGGCACTGATAGGCGGCACTGACTGGTACTGATAGGTGGCACTGATTGGCAGCACTGATAGGTGGCACTGATTGGCATTGATAGGTGGCACTGACTGGCACTGATGGGTGACACTGAAAGGCAGCTCAGATGGGCACTGATATGTGGCATTGATGTGCACTGGTAGGCACTGATATCTGGCATTGATGTGGCACTGATGGTTACTGGCAGGTGGCATGGATGAGCACTGACACAAGGCACTGATGGACACTGACAGGTGGCACTGCTGGGGCTACACTGATCATCAGGGCACACTGATCATCAGTGCCCTGATGATCAGTGTACATGTCCCGTCCGCGGAAAGCCGCTTACCGGCTCTCCTCTCCTCTCGAGCTGTCAGCGTGACAGCTCGAGAGGAGAGAAATGCTGATAACCGACATTTCCCTGTTTACATGTGATCAGCTGTGATTGGACGCAGCTGATCACATGACCGAGCTGACATCTTCGGCTCTTTCCGTGATCAATGATCCGCTGTGTCCGAGGGACACAGCGCACTGCCAATTGCCACGGTGCGCGATCCCTAGCTGCGCATGGGCGGTGAGAATGGGAGGACGTCATATGACGTCCTCCTAGAACGAGAGAACCGCCTTGCGTCCGTCATATTACTATATGGTGGGCGGGAGGTGGTTAAAGCAATCCACTGAGCTGGTCAGAACCAACTCTTGAGGAAGTCTATTCCACATTTTCACAGCTCTCACTGTGAAGAAACCTTTCCGTATTTCACTATATGAACCACTGATGTATTTATACATGTTGATCATATCCCCCCTTAATCTCCTCTTCTCAAGAGAGAATAAATTCAGTTCCTCTAATCTTTCCTCATAGCTGATCTCCTTGCCTCTTATCAGTTTGGTTGCCGTTCTCTGTACTTTCTCCAGTTTCTCAATGTTCTTTTTGTGAATTGGTGCCCAAAACTGAACTGCATATTCCAGATAAGGTTTTACTAATGATTTGTACAGGGGTAATATGACATCTCTCTCCCTGGAGTCTATACCTCTTTTAATTCAAGAGAGGATTTTGCTCGCTTTAGAAACTGCAGCTTGGCATTGCCTGCCACTATTAAGCTTGTGATCTACCAGAACCCCCAGATCCTTCTCCACCATTGATGCCCCCAATTGTACGCCCCTTAGTATCATCATTGTGTTGAGTAGGGAGCCATCTATTGGGTGTTCACTGCAACTGCACCTGTTTTTATTATTCCTTTCAATAAAGAACAGGGAGTGTCTCATGTTTGTTAAAAATAAAGATTTCCCATCTGCCACTGCAAAGCCATTTTAGCTTCCTGAAGAACAACAGTGAAGGTCTCCTCCATTCTCCCTTTGATACACATATGCCTGTTATTTCTTTCATTGTGTTTGTCAAAGTCACATACGTACATAGCTGGATCGCATTTCAATGTATTCAATGTGATTTGTAGGTAGCTGTTTGTAAGAAATGTGTTCATTGTATGCATTTGTGAAAGACATGTGTAAAAAGCATATTGTTATTTCATTTTATGCAATTGTATTGCAGTTTTGCAGAACTATTCACAGAAGTAAGTTCAGTTTTGGAATGAAACACAACTCTGCTTCGGTCAGTTTTGTTAGCTAGCTGTCGGCTAATGGTTAGTGCCATGTGAGAGAGACAGACAAACAAGAAAGAAGCCTACTAATGTCATTGCTGGTGCAGTGAGTGAAATCACTACTATGTCAAAACTAAATTAAAATAAAACGTGTCCTCAAGACTCAGAGACAATAAAAAAATCACAACTACACCACAGTGGCAGTTTATTTTCGTAACGCAGGGCTGCCTATGAAAGTTCCTTCCTTGCTCAGTCTTCTAAAGTTGGCCATACAGGGAACAGTTTTTTTTGTTCAGCCAGGGGGCTGAATGTATATAATGGAACCAATTCCCTCGTCCACACATTTGAGGTGGATAGGGGAATCTTCCCCACTGAGTTAATGTGGAAATTCCCCTGCTGTCAGAATGCACAGATCAGTGCTCCTGCCATTGGCTGCATCCGCTGATCGAGCAGCTTGTGAAATCGACTTCTGTTCAACCGCAGTGGCCACACATGGATTAAAAAAACAGACATTCCCTGTGAAACTGGCCAAATTTCGATCAATCTATGGCCACCTTAAGGCTTCAAATGCCAGTTCCAGATGATTCCACAGACAGTTGATCTAAACGGGAGCTACAATCTGCAGCACTGCAGGAAGATAACATTCTACAGCTAGCTATTCTGTATATGGTTCGTTATTTCATTTGGTCCAAAACTAACAGATTCCTCCATCCACAAATAGGGTGAATAGTAGATCACCCCCCCCCCCCCCCCCCTCCCCACGCTGGGACATTGTATTCTGATAATGGGACCGGCCACTGCCAGAACACACTGCAGCCGCTGATCAACAAAAGTTTTCCAGCATGTTCCTATACACACTGTGCATATAGAAGGGACATGCAGACCTTCTGAATACACAACATTATACAGAAAAAATACAGCCAGTCCTTCCACAGCTGGTGAGAGGAACTCTTCTGTATCGGAAACACATCTGTAGGATCTGAACGTGCAAAGTACAGAACCAAAAATGTGTATACGCTGCCAAAAATACAAAAGTACTTTAACGTTAATACTTATTAAGCCACACACCAATCAGAATTTGTCCGGTGCCTGCTGAACTGGCCAAATTTTTTATCACCAATTAGTGGTAGGCCTTCCAATGCTTTTACAGTAGAAGCATTGCCTCCACTGCCTGGGAACTTTGTTTTTTTTTCCAGCAGTATTAGGAATGAAGGGGACCTGAATGTTTGCCAACAATAAATCCTTTAAATAATACTGCATATTCTTGGAAAGTGAACAGATTAGAAAATCAGTCAATGAAATACTACTCATCAAAACAATTCTGCATGGAATACCAATACCAACCTGTACAGTAGATACCATGTGCTCAGTACTGGACTCCAAGCCAACATGCGAGGAAGAATTAGATAGCCTTGGATGCTATCTTCCATATAATGCATTGCCATTATAGCTTTTAGGGAATACAGCGCAACTGTGATTAGTATAATATACTGATGATCTACTTAGTAGCAGTAGTAAAAAATAATCATTAAATTCGGAAATGTTTATTTTTCTAGCAAATTAAGCTGTATGGATCAACACTGATAAATAGCTAAGAGCATATTTTAATAGTTATGAATAGATTCAGAGTCATACGATTTAACAGAAGTAAAGTTACAAATCAGTTGCTGTTTTGACTAATAGAGGAAACTGTATGCACGTTATTTGGAGTCATGCATTCTCCCGAGACCTCTAGATTTTCGGGAGCGGTTATGTATTGTGACCTATGAATCAATATCCCATGACTATGTGCAATGAGCCAGCTGGAAGAAAAGTGGCTGGGGTTTCTTTCTCTCATATCTGTACACACTGTGCATATAGAAATGACATGCAGACCTTCTGAAAACACAATATTATACAGCAAAATATAGCCAGTCCTTGCACAGCTGGTGAGAGGCACTCTTCTGTATCGGAAACACATCTGGATCAGTAAACACTGTACGTGCAAAGTACAGAACCAAAAATGTGTATACGCTGGCAAAAATACAAATGTACTGAAAACATAAATCATAAAATACGTAAAGAAAAACAAAGTATGGCTGTGTCTTCGTCGTAAGCAATGCAACATATATTTTAAAGTATATACATGTAACCAATAATTATTTTCCTTTTGTGGCTCTAAGGTAAAATAGTAATACACCCTCTGAGTTTTTTTTAGCTGAACACATTAGGCACAATAGTATAAAAATTGCCAAAGCTCATAGATGAGTCAACTTTTTTCTCATATTTATCCGATGCACCAGTAACATGAGTATCACAGCACCCCTCCTACAATGGTAACAGTATATCTAGTGATTTACATGTATGTGAATGTAATCTTGAAGCTTTATTAACAAAACGGGGTGGGTGAAACTATTAGGAAAAACAAACAAGAAGTACATACAATCAATAAATGAAATATACAAACACATGAAATGATTAGGCTGCCGATGTCAATAAGTCCATGCTCATCAGCAATGCTGCCTGTAAGGGATGTAGGTTCAGTCCATTACATGTGCTGCAGAGATTTATGGCTGGTCCTTTACCTCAATTCTTAAGATGGAGTCTGAGTTCCCAGGATGCACATGTTTCCTGGAGGTAGAACAGATAGGGCCCCAGCTTTAGGACTTAACCATATAGAGTGGTTTGGGGTACTTTTGCTATTAGCGTGGTCTTTACACTAATGAAAGGGGGGGGGGCGTGAGTAGGCTCTTGGGAGTAATGGTAGAGCAATCAGGACCATTTCACATTGAAGTAAAAGTCAATGCATGCCTACCCCATGGAGTATCTTAATTTAATTCTTGATGATATACAGTCATGGCCGAAATTGTTGGCACCCTTGATATTTCTCCAGGAAATCATGTATTTCTCACGAAACGTATTGCATTAACACATGTTTTGCTATACACATGTTTATTCCCTTTGTGTGTATTGGGACAAAACAAAAAAAGGGAGGAAAGAAAGCAAATTCGACATAATGTCACACAAACCTCCAAAAATGGGCTGGACAAAAGTATTGGCACCCTTTCACAACTGCGGATAAATAAGAATGTTACAAGCATGTGATGCTCCTGTAAACTCACCTGGGGCAAGTAACAGGTGTGGGCAATATAGAAATCACACCTGAAAGCAGATAAAAAGGAGAGACGTTCACTTAACCTTTGCATTGTGTGTCTGTCTGTGCCACACTAAGCATGGACAACAGAAAGAGGAGACGAGAACTGTCTGAGGACCTGAGAACCAAAATTGTGGCAAAATATCAACAATCTCAAGGTTACAAGTCCATCTCCAGAGAACTAGATTTGCCTTTGTCCACAGTGCGCAACATTATCAAGAAGTTTGCAACCCATGGCACTGTAGCTAATCTCCCTGGTCGTGGACGGATGAGGAAAATTGATGAAAGATTGCAACGCAGAATAGTCCGGATGGTGGATAAGCAGCCCCAAACATGTTCCAAAGACATTCAAGCTGTCCTGCAGGCTCAGGGAGCATCAGTGTCAGCGCGAACTATCCGTCGACATTTAAATGAAATGAAACGCTATGGCAGGAGACCCAGGAGGACCCCACTGCTGACACAGAGACATAAAAAAGCAAGACTACAGTTTGCCAAAATGTACTTGAGTAAGCCAAAAGCCTTCTGGGAAAACGTCTTGTGGACAGATGAGACCAAGATAGAGCTTTTCGGTAAAGCACATCATTCTACTGTTTACCGAAAACGGAATGAGGCCTACAAAGAACAAAACACAGTACCTACGGTAAAATATGGTGGAGGTTCAATGATGTTTTGGGGTTGTTTTGCTGCCTCTGGCACTGGGTGCCTTGACTGTGTGCAAGGCATCATGAAATCTGAGGATTACCAAAGGATTTTGGGTCGCACTGTAGGGCCCAGTGTCAGAAAGCTGGGTTTG